GAAAAACAGGCCAATCTCCAACATCTATAAATAAAGGTGTTGATGGCAGCAGCACAGCTGATATTTCTCTCCAGGATGGAGTCACAGCCAAACTGGAACAGACGAGGCAAAGATACTATTTACTTGCTCAAATCAAGAGTAAATACACTTATTTCAAGAAACATTTTGCTTCATTATACAGTATTTCTAGTTTTGTAGTGTATGTTTTCAGACAAGGGGTGTGATGGCAACATGTTACACAACCCCACAATCAATGGTCCGGTAATTATTTATATTTAATGCATCACTTTATAATAGTTTACAGTACTGTATTTGATTATTTTTACGCATGTGATTAGGATTTGCCCGCTCAGTGGAGCAGGGGGTAGCACTGCTGCCTTGCAGCAAGAAGGTTCAGTTTGGTTTTGTTTACCTCATTTTGTTTTTGTGGCCAGATATATGTTTAGAGTTCAGAATTATTTTGTAAATAAATTTTCTACTATTACTTTTCTCAAACTTGCCCGTGCTTCTTTGATTTCTTTTGGCTTGGTCTCTCATAAGGGGCCAGGACCAGTTCTACAGGGGCACTGGCCCCTGTTAGCCTCTGTCTAGAACCGCCCATGCCAAATGGTGTATAAACTTTGTCATTAAAATAAATTTGATTTGCATTACACAACATTTTCGTTTTCTTCATGTTTTTCGTCATGAAGAAAAATAACTTTTTATAATTTTGCTCTGTGTTTTTTATTTTCTTTAAAAAAGCAATAAATTTACTTTCATAAAATGGGTAAACCAGTTATAATTATATAATGGAGATAAAACCAGACATGTTGTTGTTAAAGTTCCAACAAGTTATAAAAGTATTTAAAAAGGCTAAATATTTTTCACTGACTTCTTCGGCTTCAAATATTATTTTTATCAGTATTAATTGTAATATAAATGCTGCAGCTTTTTTACACTTATTTATGAATCCATTTATGATCACACAATTCTGAACCCATAGAAAATCTTCGCCTTCAGATGATCTGTTTTCTACTATTTGTTTCAAAACAGATCTGTGTGATATTTTATACAAGCTGCTGAAGTGAGAAAATATTCTAGCTTAACATCTGAATGCATTAATGATGTTTGTCCTGTTTTCTCACCTGTACATCGACTACATGAGTTCACCACCCATCCCCCCACCCCCAGCTGCATTCTGACACGTCTTATAATAGTCACTTAATTTATTGATTTATAAAGCCATCAGTTTAACCAAATCTGCCTGTATGCTTCAGTTACATTGAAATATTTTGTTATTTGCTACTGAAAATAAACTGGATTAATTTAACTGTTTTGTGAATAGTATTATTACTTCTATCTATATAACTGAATTACCATAATAAATGGCCATTGTTGATCGATTTGATCATTGGTACTCAAAGCAAAATAATTAACCCGCTGTTTCTTTCCACCTAACAAATATGGCTGCTGTTCTTATTGCTGCATTCAGGTCTTCCATGGTGGGGACAAACATGTGATGATGGTAGAAAAGTTTTGCTTGGGTTATTGTACAAATAGGGCTGTCATAAATCATTCTGAAGGCAGAGCTTTGTACATTAGCTGGCACAAAGTGTCAGACCCATATAGGCAGACACACATATGCACATACACACAATCACACACATCTGCAGCAGCAAACCTTGCCAGTTTACTTTCTTCCTCTCCTTTTTTACTTTTTCCAGACACGGGACTCTTGTCCCAGTTTATACGTCTGTATGCCACCAACTTTCTCCACCGTTTGCATATAAAGAATGTCCTTGTTTTCAATTGTATCTCCAAGTTATGTTAGTCAGTGTGCTTATTGCACCAGAGCTATCAAGGTGGAAAGGATTTTCATGTCTTTCATGTCTTTTTTGCACCATAAAACTTTTTTTTTTTCTAATTTTAGCTTTGAATTGAAAAAAATGAAATGAAATTAATGGCAAAAAATCAAAAATAGAATTAGGAGCAAGAAACCATATTATTGTGGTTGAAAAAATACAAAGAGTATGTTTAGCATTATTCAATTCAAATCAATTGAGTTTATTTATATAGAGCTAATTCACAACACATGTCCTCTCAAGGCACTTTACGGTTCAACAGATCATACAGTCAAATTGATTCAAAGTTTTTAATCTAAGGAAAACCAGCTGATTGCATCGACTCATTGACTCTGATGCAATCCCTCACACTCGGATGCAATCCCTCACACTAAGCATGCTTGTAGCGACAGTAGAGAGGAAAAACTCCCTTTTAACAGGAAGAAACCTCCAGCAGAACCAGGCTCAGTGTGAGTGGCCAATCTCTGAAGCGACTGGGGTTCAAGGAGACAGAAGCAGACATACAAAAAGCAGCTGTAAAAGGCGACCCCTTCCAGGAAACACACAGCCAGGCAGACGAGCTCCGAGCCAACCCCCGCGCCAGAGAACGTAGAGAGCACATCCAGCTAGTCACATCCAGAGAAACAGGACCACACCGGAAAAACAGGCCAATCTCCAACATCTATAAACAAGGGTGTTGATGGCAGCAGCACAGCTAATATTTCTCTCCAGTATGGTGTCACAGGCAAACAGGAACAGATGAGGCAGAGAGAGCATAACATTAGAGATTAAACTAACAATTTTTGCAGAGTGGGAGAATAGAGATAGAATGATGAAATAGGGATCTATATGTCCTCCAGAAGTCTAAGTCTATAGCAGCATAACTATAGAGATAGCTCAGGATAACCTGAGCCACTCTAACTATAAGCTTTATCAAAAAGAAAAGTTTATCTGCATTTTGTTTAAAATCCTTACTAAAGCATTTGGTCAGACCAAAATGTTGTCACTGAATCCTTTTTTAGAATTGTTCAAATAAAACATTAGATCACTCTTGAACAGCACACATGCAGCTGTAAAGAACTGGGGCTCCTTTAGTGACAGAATGATGCCTCCCAGGTGCACTAAGAAGCATTAGATTGCTGCACCCAGCGGCTGTTAGACTTTATAACCTTCACTTCTCCAAGCAAGCATAGTGTTTATATTCTTGCTCTAATTTACAGTCTTCTGAAAAAATGCATATACCACAGTTTGTATACTTTTTTTTAAAAGACTGTACCCAGTTAATACAAATCCCAAATATGAGCATGATATTAATTAAACTGTAACTACCGTTCCATTTTTCATACATTGTACCTTAATATTCACTCTATTGTGCTTTTGTATTGTTTTGTATGATTTTACACTTGTGGACTAGCAGCAGTCCCAATCTGCCCACCATAGTTTGGCCCCACTTTTTTTAGTGTTTCTCTCCTATAGAGATATTTAATGAATCAAAACTAAAAATTCTGAGGTTCTAAATA